CAGCTTTCCTGTGGGAGTCACACGACATGTGCTCTTCTCCATTCAGCACTGGCACTGGAACATTCAGTCCTACACAGCCAGTGCAACAGAGCTGTTGTGAAGGCGCTCGTGTTATTGGCAAGAGAAACGGATGGATGCTCTAGTCTCATAAAAACGACAGGCACACCTACTAGAGAAGTCCAACTGAAATGTGTACTCCAGTCAAATGCACTGCCCTATGTTACTGATTTTAAATGATTTTTAGAGGCATTTCTAATGGTCAGACCCTCTCACCTTCCAAACTGGCAAGGTGCAGCCACCCAAACTGAAGTACAACTCTTTCCCAAGGGCTTCTCTTCCTCCAAGGGAGCCACAACATACACTCCTGGTCATGAACCATTTCAGTGGACAATGCCTGCAGAAGGAGTAAATGGTCTGAGAGCTCCTTTCTTAACCTTTGACACCTGAAGACCCTGTAGAAAATCAGTTGATCCGATATGTTTTGCATTTCAAATGTTTAATGGTTTGAGAGCCCATGAGGAATCCTGGCAGCCTTCCCCATTGTGCTGTCTTCAAGAGGTTTTAGACACCAACCACCATCAGCCCTAGTTAGCATGGTCAACGGTCAAGAATGCTGGGAGTCATGGTCCAAAACAGGAAGAGGGCTCCACAATGAGGATGATTCAATTATGGGCTGCATGAGGTCTTTATGAAGAATCCTTAGAAAGAAACCAGTAAGCTTACTAGCCATTTTTGTCCATTCCAGCCTCTCATGTGATCAGTTGCCAATCTCTGCATGTTGTTCTACAATACCTTGTTAGCCTCTCTGTCCTTTCCACCTCGTGTGCTGCAGCAGCACAGTTTATTATCACATGAGCAAAAAAAACGGGAGCGAGGCCGTGGGATACGGACCTCAGCCAGCATTCCAGCAGCAGGACCGAGGGGCAGGAGCAGGTGTCCAGCCCAGGCGGTGAACCCACTGATCTCAGCATTGCTCAGTGCCCATGCCCCCAGGGAGCCCAGCCAGCGTTGGTCAAAAGCCTCCCCCTCTCATCTGCTAGCCATCATGCGGCCACCTCTGAAGCAGCCAACATTCACGCCACAGCATCTGCCATGGTCAAAATGTATCTGAGAGTGTGCACTTGAGCCCTCTGGGAACAGAGAATGCAAAGGCAGCTCGTGTCAGTACATGCTATAGAAATAGGAGGGTACCAAGCGACAGCAACTGGCACCAACTGGAAGAAAGAGGCCTTCCTCTCCTGGGGAGAGCTGCTAAAAGGACGGCACACAAATGTCTTAAACAAATAAATATTGTAAATAAGAGGCTGACATAGGCTGATGGTGACACAAGATGGGGGTGGTGTCTTTTTCTATTATTCCCCACAGTGAAGGACTGGAGACTTGCTGTGAGATGGCTGCCCCCCGGGTAGGTGGGACTTCGTTCCACTGGATTGGGTAATTCAGATATGAAAGAAGATCACTGTGGGCTGCACTGCTGCACCAGAAACTGCAAAACCTGCCAAGTATCAGCTGTGCAAAGCCTTGCCCCTACGGCACTGACTTCAGAATTATTCATGTTTTCATTTGCATCAGGGACTGGTGTTGCAATAACCACTCTATTTCTAGTTCCAAGCACTAGAAAAAAGTCACCATACTTAGTTTGACTATCAAAAAGTTAAATTGCTGGACTGAAGTTAATGCAAGTGGAAGGTGAGGGGAAAACCTGGATAATAAATTCATTGTGCTGCTTGCATTTCAAATCATTGGCAGTGAGATGCTTGTCAAAGCAGGCTTCAGGATCTGCTGCCTCCATAGGATTTATCCATCACCGATAACTCAGATAAATCATGTTCACCAATTAGCTGAACATGACATATAGCAGAGAAAGTAAAGAATCAAAGTGGAATGGCAAGTGAACAGGAAAAAGGAACAAACTTGGACAGAAATAATACCATTTTTTAAAAATGAACAAGCTCATACATTATCAAATTTGCTCATTGCTACTTGTATCCTCTTTCCACAGTCCAGGTTTCTATGGGAAACCTCACCAAAAAGATGCCACATTTGATCCTTTTACTTCTGTGGATTCACAGCCTCGATCTTGGAGGCATTTTGATTTGATTTATTACTAATACACTGATTTTTTCTCTATATGCATAAAAAAGCTTGTAAAATTAAAGAAAACGGACACTGCTTTTGTGTGTTTTCTGTCCTACAACTCCCCGAATTTCCCAGCCAGACATTCTGACTGTAGAGTACTGAATATTGTAGGACTTTATCTAAACTACATAGAATAAAACAAAAATAGAAAAAAATAATTTAAAAAACAACTTTAAGACAAACAGCAGCTAAATCCAAAATCAGGAGATTAAGAAGCCAGGCACAGAAAATGATAAAAATTAAAAAAAAAAAACCAACAACAAAACAAAAGCTTGTTAAAACAAAACATTTTTCAATAAAAGTCTAAATGATGAACAGGAGGGAGTCTGTTGGATATCCATGTAAGAGACCAGAATATTAGGGCCACTACAAAAAAGGCTGAGTCCTGGATAACTTCCCATCATATCTCACATAAAGACAGGTCCACAAAGACTCAGGCAAATCCCAAGACCCAAGATCCAAACCTCCAACTTGCGTTTGCTTATAGGCTTCCTACTGAAGCAACTAGCTGACCATTGTGGGAACTGAATCCTGGACTGAGCATTCCAGCATGGTTCTTCTTATGCTCATACACTCTGACAGCAAATGCTTTGCAGGACTTCACTGTCTCCTCCTTGGAAGTGGCAGGTGTGGAATTACTCTACAGTGCAATAAAGACCAGGCTGCACTGAACCCATCTGCAGCTGGGCTATCGGTTGAATATTTCTGGTGGGAACATTTGAGTGGAGCATGGAAATTACTATTTATCTAGACCCCACCTCCAGAGTAGGTAGTTAGGGGAAGAAAAGGGCTGGAAGAGAGAGATGGTGATATAAACATAGGAAATGAGATGCACAGAGGGTGAGAGACTAGAAGAAGAATGAAAAATGAATGTCAAGGGCAAAGGCAATTCCTCCAAGTCCATCTAGCCACATATTTAGGAACACCTGAGACACAGTGGTGGGCATCCATTTGTGTTACAGAATTTAAAGTTATTCTTTCCCACTCAGATTATCCTTTTGGAATCTCCATACTTAGAGCCTCTCCCCAAAAGGACTGTTTTGGGATCTTGGCACATCAAAACAGATAGGTTTGCTCCTACAGTTACAGCAGTAAGAGGGTGTGGCACAGCTTCATGTCAGTTGCCCTTTGGTTTATTTTCAGATATGGGAAAACACAAAAAATGTTTGTTTGGCAGAGTTGGATGGACAAGCTGATTCTTTTTTTAAAAAAATATTTTTGGTGGATCAGCTGGTAGATCCCATAATTTCTTACCATTCTCTGTTGTGCATACTAAATATAATTCCTCGGCTACAGCTGAATGCCTGAAACATCTGCTAGAATCTAGGTTTGGCCCTGCTGCTTTGGCTAGCCCATTGTTAATGGAAGGATTGAATGAGGTTGAGCAGCCACCCTGATCCACAATCCATTTTTATAAATATCTATTATTGGTGAACAAATATAACATAAAAGGCCTTAAGCAAGAAGAGAATCATGAATTGGAGTAGCTTTTCTTGCCGCATCCATGGAAGGATAAGCAACAGCCTGAAATAAGACAATGGGTGGGGGACTTGATGATACTTTCAGTTTTTGAACAGGTGATTTTTAGAAATAATATACAAATGGAGGACTACGTAAATATCTGGGCTACCTTTGTTAAAGTCTATATATAATTATCTTTAACAGCAGTAGCATATCTTGAAATGTATAAAACATATATGGGTACTTAGTGTATATTCACTGTAATAGATTCACTCAGATTTAATCTAAGAAAAATACCATTTTAGATTAGTTTTACTTTGTTGGACTCGGTTTTGAAATCCACTATGAAATGACTTTAAACTCCGGCCTCACTGAAAGAAGAGCAACGGTGGCAACCTGACTGGCATCGCCGTTTTACACGGTGAGTGCCGAAAAGGCGCGGCGCGTCTACACGAGTGCGAGTAGGACGCAGCCTCCCTCAAGCTGGTGTCCTCCCGATGCATTGGACTACAGCTCCCATAACTCCCACCCAGCCTTCCAACGGCCTGGGCATGCCTGGGAGTTACAATCCAACACTCGGGGAAACCAGAGCAGTCGCCAACAGAGAGCGAGCCGAGGAGCAGCGGCAACTTCCACGACGGGGCGCGCGGCTGGGCGCAAAAGGGCGGCCGCCGCAGGCTCCTCGGGCGCGGCCGGCGAGACGGGCTCGCACTGCACGCTGGGCGGGAACTCGCAACTTCAGCGCGCCGCCTCCTCCCGAGGCCAATCGCACACCGGCTCTTCTAAGTTTTGTGCTACCTTTAGCGGTTGTTTTTCTTCTTCTTTGGAAAGATACACAGTCAACTTTAAAGCGAGTCCGTTCTCCTTGGCTTTGTCCCTGCGATACAGGGTTAGGGGTTCCCACAAATTCCTAACCCGTAAGGAATCTGGGGACATCACTGGATCACCTTGCAGGGCTGTGCTAAGTCTGTCTCTCGGTGCCACCTCCTCTTCCCCGCTCTTCAAGGAGAGTTGCTAGATGTTGCACGTCATTTCTGCATGTGTAAACGCTTACATTCTTATTTTTTTCCTAGTCGAAGGAAGACTTGGTTTAGGAAAAAGCCTCAACTTCTTCCTGCTTTTGTTACTACCCTGGCGAGGCCGGCAGACGCTGCTAGACCACACCAACCCTACGGTCAGAGCCTCTGCCCTTCCCCACGTACAACGATCGCTCCCTCGGCATCCCGAAGATGCAAAGGGGCGACAAAAGTAACCAGGAAGTCCCGTCTCCAATTCTGAACGCGATTGCCGCAGACCTCCCATTTGGGCGGTTTCCTTGCCTTGATGGGCAGATCCGCAGCCAATGCGCGCAGCCGAATTCAAGGGCCGCACCCCGCGCCGGCGGCTCCGAGCGGAAGGCTCCGAGCCTCCGGGACGGGCGAGCAGCAGCAGCAGCAGGGCGATGGCGACGCCGGTGAGAGGCCCGCGGGAGGCGGGGAGAGCGGGGGACGCGGCGCGCGTGCCGGGAGAGGCGTGCGGAGCTGCCCGCGACGGCGCGAGCCGGTCCCCGCCGGAGGAGGGCGAAGGGGGGCCGTGCGTGACCCTGCTCCAGCCGTTCCGGCAGGGGCAGATGATGGATCCTGGACTGTCTCCCGAGCTGCTCCAAGAATGCCAGCTCTCCCGTGTGCCTTTAATCGCTGTGGGATAAACAAGTGACGCTTCCCCCGGGAGGGAGATAGCATAATGGGCGCCGTCCTGCTCTGAGAGGCGTGGGAAAAGTACTAACTCGACTTCCTTTTCCATTTGAAAAGAGAGGGTGGCTCCTGTAGGAACACTTCACGTCCTCCGCCTGCCTCCTAGAACAGAAGCTGTCACAACTCTAGAAGGGGTTTTCCTCCTTTAAGTACAGATCTTGGATTTAAAATCCCCGAACTAGTTATAATAATAGCATGGCACTGCTTTAAGCAATTTAAATTGCTGTATATGAGACCCTCACCAAGAAATGGTGGCGAGGTGATAGTTTGTATTTGCTTGGCCCCATTTTTTTCTCCTGTGATAAATGGGTTGTGGGGTAAGCTTCATCTGAGTCCAGTCTCTACAACTGACTTGATTATGAAGGAAGGATGTAGCTCTCGTCTTGTCCCCAGAGTAGCTTTTGAACAACTGAACTCTGGACAGGTGCATTAAAAGAAATGAGTTGCCTCAAGGTTGGATGGCAGCGCTGTTGGGAGAAATGGGTGGAAGGAAACTCATGGGGAGGCTTCTGCCATAGGCCCTGAGCACTTGGAATCAGACCGAGACCCTCTGTAGAGGCTGTGTAACAGCTCCATGCGGATTGCTTGGGTAGAAAGCAACCACAATTTCTCCATACCACAAGTGGTATGAAGTCAGCATACATGAGCAAAGAAAAGAAGGGAGTCCTGCTCTTTTTCTGCATGGGTAAAACATCTTTACCACCAGTAGACACTTACCTGCTCTCTGCTTTTAGGCTCCTGCAGTGTCCGCTCATATACATCTTTCTTTTAGAAACAGACAGATGTGCTCTATAACAAAATGTTACAGTGTGGAGTATTTCTGCTTAAGATGCCAGAAGCCGTTCCTTCTTTCAGGATACCCAATTTCTTCCTCCTCCACCATCCCACACACAAAACAGTCAGTTAACATACCATGGCCTACCTATCCATACTGGGTTATCATTGAATTTGTGCCAACACTGAGGTTCCCTAGAGATTTCTGATGCTTCCTCCTTTTGTATGGGTAACTCTTATGTAGTTGTTTTGGTTATGTAGTTGGTTTGGTTATGCATCCACCATTACCCCTGAATGTGACATAGAGGGAATGATAATTCTGCTACATGATTGCCTGGCTTGGCCTTTCCAAAGTAGACAGTGTGCTGCATTCAGCACTTGAAGATTTGCCTGCCCCCAAGGAACAACCTAGATGGTGCTAGGCAAAGCATGTCACACATTATCTTGGGCTGGCTGGACAAACACTTTAGCCATTTAAAGGAGATACATGCTGTAGCAGCTGCAGCTTTGTACAGAACAAACTTCCTAGTTATATCTTTCACAACCAAATCTTAATCTATTTTGGATTGTGAATTTGAGGCAAAGGTATAATGGGACTACACTTTGGCAGGGTTACAGCCCACTCTATCAAATGCTTGAACTGTGTATCTACAAGTTGGCTGATCAATACATAGATGTTTGCATGCTCATAACAAATCCATGTGAAAGCAATGCGCCCCAGAGGCCATGAAATGCAGCATTTCATAATTTTGGGTCCCACTGTTCACATTTAAACTTTATGCATCTATTGATGGAAAATTGGGGGTTAGTCGACAAAAGTAAATGCTACAATAAATCTGTTTTCTATCAAGATGTCACAAGATTCCTTTTTGGTTTTGCTGTATCAAGCTGACACGACTTCCCCTAAAGAAAACTTGAGCTAATGGTGTTCAAATTCTGTAATTCGCTTTGATTTCTCCTCAGTCAAAATCGTTGTGTCTTCCAATATACTTTATAAAAGCTGCTTTCCTAATTAATAGCAATTCAGGCTAAAGATGATAGATAAAAATATAAGCAAATAAGAGGTCCTGGGTAGGATGTGTTTAAAGGAGATGTGGTCTTCCACTGATATGTTTGCGCATTGTTTTCATCGCAAGAGGAAGTTTATATCACCAGCAAACTGCCTGAAAGCCACTTTCTTCTCACGTTTGTATTTTTGTATCATTATGGTAGTGTATAGAAACTTTAAACTCATAAGAAAGACATGCTTATCCAGGCAGCCATTTTCTCTTGGTCTCTATTAGTACCTTGGACATTGTAGCTGCTGTGGATTCTGTCCTGTGTTGTTTGAATATAGATAGGAACAATCTCAGATACCGATTTGGCTTGGTACCAAAAATGTCTGGGTTCTTAAAAAATCAACTTTGTGCCTTGCACTTTGAAATATTTGTTCAACCCTGATAATAGAAATATATCACCCCTGGATAAAGATAATAAATGGATCATATAAGGTGTCTCTTAAAGGCAACCTTTATTTGTCCATTGTTTCAAATATCTCAGCCTCCTCAAAAGGAAACAGAAACAGATCAAGTCAGAAGGGGCCTCCCGGGCCAACTAGTCTGACCCCCAGCTCTAGCTGGCTCCACTCACGACATGCCCACCATGTGCATTTCCTGCCTATCTTTGAACACCCTCACTGATGGGGCCTCAGCCACCTCCTGTGGAAGCCCATTCCACACCCTCGGGGTCCTGACTGTCAGGAAGTTCTTCCTGGCATCCAAATTGAACCTTGTTCCCTTGAGCTTGGCTCCACTGGAGCGCAGCCTGCCCTCCTCTGCAGGAGAGAACATGTCTCTACCTACCTCCGTGTGACACCCCCTCACATACCTGCATGTCACCAACAGATCCCCTGTTGGCAACATATAGGAAGAATAGTCCTGCTCTCCTTCTTTTAATTTTTGAAGTTTTGAATCAGTCAGTTGGCCACAGATTTTAAAAACTGCATTCTAACCACTTCTTCTGTGTCAGGGCCCTAATATATATCAATATTGCTATTAATTACATTTCTATACTGCCTGTAGCCAAAGCTCTCAGGACAGTTCACAACAGGATATAAAAACAATAAAATAAATAAAACGACATTTAAAACATTTAAAGTTAAGTAAAATAGTATTAAAATACATTAAAACTCATGAAAATGTAATAAAATAAAAAGACACAATCAAGAAGATAGGAAATTAAGCATTCAGTTGGGACTTTTTGTATTTCCCCAGTAACAACACATACTAATTGGTTAATCTAAACTGAAGGGGTTGGGAAGTGTTGTTGGACTACAGCTCTCATCAATCCTAGCCAATACTACCGATGGAGCAGGATGATAGAGCGTACAGTTGATAGAGTGTGTCATGGGTTATTTAAGCTGCAGCACCCTAAAGCAGACCTTGCAAGGGTTATTTAACCAACACTTGCCAGGTTTCTGTAACATGATAACCCTCCAGCAGTAGCTGGATCTCCAACACGTGGGGTGCCAGTGCTCACACATTCCAGCCTCACTGCACCCATAATCGACTGTGGTGTTTTGCCTAGATGGAACCTGGCCTCCCAGAGTGAATGGCTAATTGCAAGCTAATCATGCTTCTCTTTTTTCTTTAATGTGCAGTTGCTGAATGACCCAGAAGAAATTGCAGCTTTGTACCGTGAGCTTAGCCAGTTCCCATCTCTGTCCAGTGCCTGCATCGGTCCTGAGGTAACCACTCAGTATGGGGGCAAATACTGCAACATTTACACAGGTACTGTGCCTCTCCCTAACTTTGCCTGAACTGCTGAGACTTTTGCCTGCTATATGAAAATGGTCACGATTGTATCTCCCCATTTTGCCCTGGACCTTCTTTTCCACAAGCAAGGTACATTGGGGGCAAAATGTCTGTGTCAGGGTTTCCCTAGCTTCCCGTGCTGCAGAAGCGTTTGGTTCTTTTGCCCATCCTCTAATGAACATAAGGAATAAAACCTAAGGACAGCTGCTGCTAGACATTTTCACCCCAAACCAAGAATGGGATGAGGGACCTTTCCATTAGGGAAAGGATGCACTGTTTGGCATTTCCTTGAATCTACTGAAGTGTTTGCTCCAGAGGTGGTTTAGGGCACAATCCTAAGCATGTTTCACAGAAAAAAGCCCTACAGTTCCCAACATTTCTCAGCCAGCATATGTAGGATTGCACGTTAATGTGTCTGTTTTCTGGTGGCTTACTGAAATCTGGATTGACCATGGCCTTGCCTCGTGGTGGTGGGGGAAAGGCAGATGTGGCAGTGACTCTGGATCTTTTCCGAGGCTTTAGGGTTGTGGGGGTGTGACGGAAGGATGCTTGGTTCTTCCTGTGCCAGGCTGCACGGAAATGGAATTCATTCTCTCTCTTTACAGAGTGGTCTCAGCGAGACTTGGAAAGAGCTGAAAATGTGAAGTTTTGCCGACAGTACCTGGTCTTCTATGATGGCCAGTCCGTTGTGTATTCAGGCCCTTCTGGCAACTGCACTGAAATCAAGGGAGAGTAAGTCTCTGCATTGTCACCCCCTTCCACAAAAGTATCAGAGCAGTGCCTGAGTCTCAGGGCTGCATTCAGTCCCCCAGCAGCCGGTGTGGCTCTGTATCTCCGCTGCCGCCTTTTGTGCATTCAGCAGCAAAAGAAAGATCATATTCTGTACCAAGACAATCGGAATCCTGTGATGAGAATTGCCAGTATCATTTATTTTTATTTAGTACAACATTTGATGTTCCACTCTTCTGGTCCAACAGAAAGCTTACCAAAATTGTTAAACAGTATAAAAATGGTAGTAATCCAGCAGCAGCAGGGCAGCAGAAAGAGCCCTTTCCAACTGTTCCTGGAACGTACCTGCCAGACCAGCTTTCTGCGTGCTAACCAGACAATTTTCCTTCATAGGCTGCTTAGTCGGGACTCCCCTAGTGGAGCACAAAAGGCTGTTCTGCGGAAGACTAGCAACAGCAAAGGTGAAGAAAAGCAGTTCCTAGAGGTATGTGTGTCAGTCTGGAGGAAGCTGGGTCCTTCTGGACCAGTGCGCTCGGCCTCTGCCTCTAGGGCTTGTGCCCCATGGAAACTGGAGCTAACGCATTCCCACCTCAGCCTGACTTTGCCTTCTGCTGGTCTTCCAGTGGCAAGAGGGGTTGCTTGGCTCCTTGCTGTTGAAACCTGTGCTGCCCCTCTCTCATCTCGCTCCCATGTCCAGAAGCAATTGTGCTGCACCCATGACTTTTCCAGGAGGAGAAAGGGAAAAGTTAGTCACTCTGTTATGCGGCTTCAGACAAACCCAGCAGCTGGGAAGTTGTTGGGTACCTGAGCAAGGGGTTCGGAGATTGCCACACCTAAACTCTGATCTGCCTGCTCCCACAGGTTTGGGAGAAGAACCGCAAGGCGAAGAGCATTGAGTTGACAGCTTTGGAGAAGCACGGCAAAGTCTACGAGGACGGTGAGGCTTTCCTGCAGCTGTGCTTCAGTTTGGGAGGGGCAAGAGGATAGCTAGCACCTATCCCCACAGACTGCTTTTTCTTGAGACTCCGGGTGGCGTGTGTACTTGTGTGTGGGCTGGGGAGCAGTCCTTAATGTGGACTCTGGATCGTGCATTGTTGTTGAGGGAACTTTACACAACCTGGGCTCTGCTGAGCGGACTGAGAGATGCAGTGGGGACAGACAGTGTTCTTCTCATAAGGCAAACAAGGAAACCTTGGAAGCTGCTAGTCTCCGCATTTTAGGATAGGAAGCCCAGTGATGCGGCTGAGTCTCTGGCTGTGATTTTTCTCCCCTAGACCAGTTTGGCTGCTTGGCTTGGTCGCACTCCGAGACTCACATTCTCTATGTGGCAGAGAAGAAGCGTCCCAAGGCGGAATCTTTCTTTAAGCCAAGAGCCACAGAGCTGAGCAGTGAAGAGGAGCTGGCCAAGGCAGAGCAGCGAGACAAAGCCGTCAAGGTAGGCTGGGGATTGCGTCTGGGCACATAGCAAGCCAGCAGGGCAGCTTGATGGCCTCAGCATGGGAATTCCTCACAGCTTTCAGTCTGTCCAGGCTCTCAAAGTGGGAGCCCTTGCTGGGAAGCCACTGACCACCCAGTGCCTTGATTCTGAGGCTTCAGAGAGCAGCTGTTCCACTCCCACCTGCCTCCATATTGCTTACACGCCTTTCTGGAGGAAGCCAGCCTTCTTGTTGTACGTACTGTGGTGGAAACCACCACTTCCGTTTCCCCACCATTTCAAACTGAAGAATTGTCCTAGCACAATCCTTTGTGGGCTTCAATTATATTTAAAATGTAGTAAGTCTGATGCTTGCTTCTTGAGTGGTCTCATTTGAGGAAACATCTGCCTCCCAAGATGCTATAGCGTGCAGTAGAACGGCCGAGTTTGTAGGCAATATATACATATTCACCTGCTCTTTGGGTGGTAAAGGGAACACTCTGCACCTTGAATCAGTGTTGAACCTTGAAGTCAGAATCCAGTGGTGCAAGTCCTGGCAGTCTGTCCAACAGGTGCCAACCGCTGACAACACTCGAGGTGTCTCTGCAGAGTTCTGCAGCACGATGGTTCTCCCGCTCTTTCCTAGGGGGAGCAGTTTGTGTTCTATGAAGACTGGGGAGAGGCCTTGGTGGCAAAGAGCATCCCTGTGCTGTGTGTGCTGGACATTGAGGGCAGCAATGTTTCTGTGCTGGAGGGTATTCCAGAGCACATCTCACCTGGGCAGGTCAGTACAGAGCACCTGGGGAGAAAGTTGTACTTGATACAAGTCTCACCACCACCCACACCCACCTCTGGACCCACACCACTACCACGCGATGATGTGTTTGCTTCACTGTCTTTTCTCCTCCCCAATAGAAAAATGGCTGAGAAATAGTGGAAAGCTTGGTGCTTGGGAGCCAGGAACACTGCCTTTTTTGGGAGAGAACTTTAAATCAAATTTCCCTTGCCCCCTAGAGCACCGGATTCATTCAGGGAAGGAGATATGATGCATTTTCCACCCACTCTGTTCCAGTTTTTCATGCTATGTCTTGGTTAGAGCAAAGCCTAACGGTGCTTAGGCTGGCTCGCCCTCCCCTTCCATGCTGGAGACATTTCTGCTTAGAAATTCGTAGCCCCAACTGCCTTTTGCCCTTGACGCTGCATTCCCTCCGCTGCAGGCCTTCTGGACTCCAGGTGACACAGGGGTGGTGTTCACCGGCTGGTGGCATGAGCCATTCCGTCTAGGGTTGAAGCACTGCACCAATCGCAGGTGAGTTTCCTTCCAGAATCTAGAGGAACCCTGTTGAGGCTTTACTTTCTCTATTACGAAAGGAATGGAGACCAAAGGATAGGAAGTGGACCTGGGAACGTTCTGAGGCCATTTCATTGCAGTGATGGATTGAGCTGGAGATGCTTGTTCTGCCTGAAGTACATGACTTGTAGGGAGGGGATGCTGCAACCTTAAGATTAAGTAGGACCTGTGTGGCTTCCTAAAGATGAAACAGCTTTCCAGCAGAGACAGGGACCCTCTTTATTCTAGACTTTGCCCCCTTTTATGTAAACCACTCTGCTGACTTGCCAGGAAGAAGTCTGCTGAGCTAGTAGCTCCTCCCTATTCCTGCTTCTGTCTAAATGGTAAGGGGGGGGGGTGAACTGAGGCTTAAGAAGACAGCTGTCCTTCCATCTGCCCCTACCTACATTGGCTAGAATTGCATGGTGCTCTTCAAAATAGCCCTCAATCCCACATTGTGGTTTTCCTTTCCAGATCGGCTCTCTTCTACGTAGACCTGACAGGTGGTCGTTGTGGTAAGTGACCTGCTGGTGCTATTTATGTCCCAGTTAACCCAGTCCCAGGGCCCTGTCTCTTCATTTCCTGCCTGCCTTCCTATTGCAGAGCTACTGTCAGATGACACCAAGGCCACTTGGTCTCCACGCTTGAGCCCAGACCAGTGTCGCATTGTGTACCTGGAGAACAAGGCATCAGGGCCCCACCAGCAGTGTAGTTGTCTCTGCATGGTGAGTACTGCTTTTGGGCCTTGAAGGTTTGCCTGAGAGACCTCTCCATGTAAAATCTGGAGAAGTCCTTCAACAAGGTGTGTGAGATCAGGTGGAGTGCCTTACGAATCATGGGAGCCACTGCTGTTGCAAATTCTTATTTGCTGGCAGAATTTATGAGGCTTGAATAGCCTTGTCCGAGGAAAGAAGGAAGAATTATGTGGTGAATATATGGAGAATTAAGGTTTAGGACTGTCCTCTGAGAGCTATCATGGTGGATCTTTTTATGTTGCAAGTGGTGACTTGGGCCTCCTACTTCGTGAAATGTTGCAACGTCACTTTCTTAACTGTAGCATAGATTGAAAGAGGCCTTTTCAGCCCCAGAATTCGATGGAGTGTGTCATGATTCTGGAGTAGACCTGGGTGGCAAGAAGCTATCTTTCAGCACATCCTTGTCTCACCTCTCTCGACCTCTCTTTCAGTATGACTGGTACACAAAGCTCACTTCAGTTGTGGTGGACCTTGTACCTCGGCAGAGCCAAGGTGGGTGGTGTGACATAACTGGCTCCCCCCCAGGGTGTGCTGTGGAATAGGCTGGGGGAGAATTTGAGGGATTTGATGGCACCCCGTGAACATGCCCAGAATTCTGCATTGACACCACTGCATGCTACACATACACACCTGCGCAAAACTGCTTGCCTGTATTGTGATTACTGGAGACTTCTGTGGAATATGAAATTCTTAAATAGGACTTGAGTTTTGTTTTGAAAACAGGTTGATTTTGAGGTAGAACTAAAGGAAGGGATTCTGGGAGAGTCAGAAAAGGATTGGACACTGGGAGGAGTGTGGTGGCGATGAATGCAGGTCACTAATGGTCTTGTTTGCCTTAAAGTAACAACTTATGTCTCAGGAAACATCTGTTGGGAGAAGGAATAGGGTTTTAGTTTGCTGGAGGTGTCAGGTCAGCCATGGGGGTTGGTTCCTATTGCTTGTGCAAAGTGGTTTTCTGTTGGATTTTTCTGCCTCGGTACCAAATTCTTCAGAATTTCAGAATCTCCAATGGCCAAGAGGGATTTGTTGGTATAGTTGCAGGGAGCTAGTGTTAGGCTTGGCCTTATGATTTGCTGGGTGAGTAGGCCCATCTCAGGCAGCAGATTTGCTTGTACCTTTAAAGGACAGCAGATTGTTATTGTTTTAATTACTATTGGGAAGAAGAACTCCTAGTTCTTTCTCTGAATAGTACTTCTGATTTGGCACTGAACTGTTCAACCAGCTGTGCAGAAACTCCTGGTTCTTCCCCTGAAAAACTCTGAATTTTCTGCCTTGGCATCAAAATATCACAGGCCATGTGTAGCTGGCATCCGGAAGGGCATCCGGAAGGGAGCTGATGGAAAGTGCAGTATATGCCCCATGGCCTGTTTCTGCTGCAGTTTGTGTCTCACTGTGGAAAGGTAGCCTTCGCTTGAGTGAAAATGGTCTCTTTCTTGCAGGTGAATTCACTGGGATTTATAGCAGGGCACTGCCTGAGCACTGCTGGGCAGCAGACAGTCAACGAGTTGTACTGGACACAGTTCAGCGTAGTAGACAGGTAAGAATGAATGATAGAATATTATGAATTTTAAGCTGAGCCAAGAGTAGTTTGGGCCAACCCAGCAAAGTGTTAGGGGCATTGCTAAGTGAGATTTCTTAGGGGCATTGAACAGGCAAGCCTTTAAGTTCAATGGATTTATACAAGAAACAAAGTAAAACAGAGGATATTTATTTCTGTCCAAGTGGCTGTGTAGGATTGTTGCATGAAAATCCTGTGGAACTGTGCAGCCGTGTCCATTTTTCTTGGTAGCATTCCTTCCCAAACTTCTAGTTCAGCACTAAATTGTTCAGCCAGCTGTGCAGAAAGCTTCAATCTGGATGCAGCCTGTGGCATATATCCCCTGTGCTGTCTTTTCTAGGAACTGATTGTGGTGGACACATTGTCAGGCAAAGTGGATTCTCTCACAAAGGGTAAGTATCAAAGCCCGTAGCCTGGCCTTCACAATTATCTTCCCACTATAACTGTATCATGCAGGTACTCAACAGAGAATTCTCATGACCAAATGCTAAATTGCTTCAGTATAGCCTGACATGCCTGATCCTGGCTAATCTTGGAAGCTAAGTAGGGTTGGGCCTGGTTGAAATCTGGATGGATAACTTAAATGTTGTGAACCTCCCAGAGAACTTTGGCTATGGGCGGTATAGAAATGTGATGTAATAATAATAATTAATAGTCCAGGTCAGAAACAAAAGTGGTAAGCAACATAAGCTCTTCACCTGCCTGAGGGGAGGAAATGGGGAAAGAGCGAGGTAGTGCTAAAATGTCATTCTTCCATTTATCTAGGTTCCCAACCTGGAAGCTGGGCACTGCTCACTGTTGATCGAGATCTGCTGGTAGCCAAATTTTCTACTCCAAACTGTCCTCCTGTGCTTGTAAGTGTCATGTGATTAGCAGTTTGGCAGAGGAATGTATGTTTGAAACCCTTCAGGACTGGCCAACATCAATGTATGAGCATAATAGCAAAAAAAATATTTATTTGTTTGTTTAAAATATTTCTACCCTGTCCTACATGAAGATCGTCCCAGGACAGCTTACAATAATCATAATCCTTAGGTGCCTTCTATCCCCTATAAATTTTGCCTAGGATTATCCAAGCTTTAAATAGATTAAACTGGTAGACTTCCACCTGTACCACACTAATTAGACAAGGCCCTTTATCCTCAACTTGAAGATACTTTTCATATTGACCTGATTCACACAGAGTGCTACCCCAAGTTTTATTTAGCCCATGCATTGTTGGGTTCTGGATCATCATGATATGCAAACCAAGATGCACTTAATAAAACTACAAAGAATAACCACAAACAACCAAGAAAGAGAAATTATGGTAGGTTGTTGAGTTGTGAACTCTGGGTTGTTTGAACCATGGGCTGTTACGTATGAACCCAGAACTGTGGGCTGCTCATGGTTTGTTTTGGTAGACTAAAAGTGATGTGCAGGAGTGGTCAGACAGACTGACAAAAAGCCACACTACATGCCTGTAGTACAGCACTACAGAGGCATTTGGAATACACGAAAGGAGAATTGAAGGGAAACTTAATCAGGATTGAGAAAACCAGGATTTATTCATTCATTTGCCAAACAAACTCTGGGTAGGGCAACAATTTGGTCACCAGGTCATTGTATCCAAAACATTTTGAGGAGTATGATCACACAAGGCTTGTGCACAGGTTGCAACATCTTTCTTTTTTTTTACCTATGTGCTTCTCTTATTATTTTTAGGCAATATTAATGAGGCAAAATGTGAATTATGCATGAAGTAAATGTGTTGCTTCCCATGGTACAATTTCTATGGGCCTGAGATGAAACAGCGGAGGTTTTAGGGATGAGGATTATCAGCAGTGATTGATTGTAAGGGATAGAATACAAAAGTCACAGATGGGATTCTGTACAGTTGGGCATGTGTCTACAGTGAACTTCTGTGCCTTGTTAGCAATGTTGATTTTTCTCATCCTGCAGTTCCATTGGGCTTGTCTCTGTTTCCCTTTCAGATATCTGACATCCACTCCCATTTAGGGGCATAAGCTCTAATCCTTTAAGATTACACTGCTGCCTCTAGCTGTCTCCTGAATAAGAGACACCTGCTTCAGTGGTGCTGAGTTCCTCTTTACCTCTCCTGAGTAATGTTTTCTCTTCCTGCAGATGGTAGCCTTCCTGCCTCCTGCTGGCAAGGAATCTGAAGTAAACTGGGTGTGCCTGGAGGAAGCCAGCCCAGTCCAAGGAATCACTTGGGATGTCCATACACTAAAGGCTCCTCCAGAACAGGACAACCCCCAATATTGTGAGTGGTCAGAGAGGAATATTTGGCAGACTTGGCCAACTACCATTCACTGCTCCAAGCTGGATTCTTAGTATAGAATTAATTTGGGTTTTAATGTGCAGGCTTCGTTTTTAACTTCAATGTGATTTGCAAAGTGTGGTCTGTCTTCACAGCGGGCCTTGATTTTGAAGCCATTCTACTCCGGCCTACTCAGATGCCAGAGAAGGGCAAATTTCCATTAGTGGTGTCACCTCATGGTAAGTGCTTTGTCTTTCTCCTTCCATTAATTCAGGACATGATGTAATTTGATGAGTATTCATCTCAGCATTGCTTCCCTTCCTTCCTTCCTTTGCAGGAGGCCCGCACTCAGCATTCACCACCAGCTGGACCCTGTACCCAGCAGTGCTTTGCCGAATGGGCTTTGCCATGCTGCTGGGTGAGTGAAAGCCAGCATTTTTCTTGGCCACCCAAAGGGCTGCAGAAGTCTCACTATATCCTAGAGTATATGACAGCCTGTGGTCCCACTGCATCTTTTCCTGCCGTCCTTGGCATGTGAACAGATCAGTCCTCTGGCAGGAGGGATCTTTCTGTTCCCTTGCAACCATCTGAATAGAACGGAAGAGTGAGTGGGGGAAAGGAAGTGGCAGAAAAAGAAAATTGATCCTGCCACCCGCTTTACGTTCTGGCACTGCCTACCACTGGCTTGAGCCTGAACCACCACCTTGAGCACAAGTGGCCTGCGAGGTCATGGAACCTTTGATGGAAACCCACATAATGCAGCACAGTCAGAGGCCCTGTTGCCAGGCTGTCGCAGGGTTCTTGCTCATGCCCAGCATGATGCCGGGATATGCAGCCCACGTGAGGATTAGATGATGGTGCTCTCCTCATATCTCCCTGCCGAGCCTGCTCTTTCTGGATGGATGGATGGAACTTCTATGCCGCCCCATTCGCCGAAGCCGCGGGGCGGCTCACAAACATAAGTAGGACATCCCAGGATTCTGACAAGGAATGTCACAGAAGCACGGCCACCCTTCTCAGAAGCAGCAGCAGCTGTGCTTTGCGGGGTGGGGCTGTTGTCGAGGGTAGCATCCTCGGCATTTTTGATTCCAAGGCTGCTTCAAGGGTAGTTCAGAAGAGTAGGGTCCGGCACTTCTTGCCAAGATGTTACCTGCTCATTCATGAAGATACCCCATGTTTAGGGAGTCCTGGGCCGAAACCTGGCTGGGCAGAAAAATAACTCCCTGGAAATCTTGATATTGGGGCTGGCAAGGAACATGTGGTCTCAATAGCACTGTGTGTTGCTGCTTTTCCTCCAAGTGAATTATCGAGGATCACTGGGCTTTGGCCAGGACAGTGTGGACTCCCTGCCAGGGAATGTGGGCTGTCAGGATGTCAAGGATGTGCAGGTAAGAGGAACAGGTTAAAATAGTAGGGCTGTCTCTTACCTGTGGGTGGGAGGGGATCCCTCCCATGCCCTGTTCCTTTATCCGCAGCAGGAGTGTGGAAAATAGCCCCTCATATCTCTTCACTGTGGGGAGGATGAGGAGATTCAGCCCAGTCCCTAAGACCATAAAGCTTCAAACTCTGTTACAATATGTACCACATACAATTTTGCCAGTTCAAAGGATTGACAGCAGATATCGCCCAGTTCTTGTGGGACTGAACCACTTTCAAAGATGAATGTGCATATTTTGCATCAAGAGGGCCAGGGAGCTTTAAACAAAGGGGTGACTTTAAATTCAGGCTACACATTGAGGCTGTGCAAGAGTGCTCCAGACATTCTGCTGAACTTCTGCATTTATTTTCTTAGTCTGTGAGCCCAGAAGAAGTTCCAGCCTTACTTTCTCCCTTAACATTGTTGCACACCTCTTTGCAGTTCTGTGTAGAGCAGATGCTACAAGAGGAGCCTCTGGATCCACAGAGGGTGGCCTTGCTTGGTGGCTCCCATGGGGGCTTCCTGTCCTGCCACCTCATTGGCCAGTACCCTGATATCTACAGGGCTTGTGTGGCCAGGAATCCTGTGGTCAACATGGCCTCCATGGTCGGAAACACTGACATTCCTGACTGGTGAGTACTCCAGAAACCTGAACAGTCAGATTCCAACCCTGTTGCTGCTGCCCTCCTTGCACACCTGCTGTGCTGTGTTTTCTAGGTGCCTGACTGAGGCTGGCTTACCCTATGACCAGGCGGCCCTCCCAGACCCTGCACACTGGACAGAAATGCTCCTGCATTCACCTATGCGATATGTTGATAAGGTACAACTCATCCTTCTGTTCCTTCTCTACACTTATTGAGATCCCCACGTGTTCAGTATTTTGAGTTTCTATCCCCTGTTTTGATTGCTTTCGATTTCTATATTGTTCTTTTCCCTTTAGGTTCAGACACCTGTTCTCTTAATGATAGGAGAGGACGATCGACGTGTGCCCCCCAAGCAAGGCTTGGAGTACTATCATGCTCTTAAGGCCAGGGGTGTTCCAACCCGGTAAGCATATTGGGCGAGTTTCAGGAGAAACATAAAGGATTTGGCTTCCCATGGGTGCTATCAGGACAAAGGGGAATTTCAGTCAGGACACTGGAAAATGGTATTGAGCTGAAGATCTCTCACTGAGAGTGAACAAAATAACCCTATCTCATCTTCTAGGATGCTGTGGTATCCAGGCAATGACCATGCACTGTCTGGTGTGGAGGCTGAGGCAGATGGTTTCATGAATATTGCACTCTGGCTGATCCAGCACCTCAAATGATGTCTGCAGAAGCTGGGCCGTACCTTGTATAACCCACCTCCGTGCAAAACAATAAGGTTCCTAACAATGGCCTGAGGCATTTCAATTCTGTTCAGCTACTCTGGAGAAGGAATACTTTGGTAACTTCGTTCATGGTCTCCAAAGCTTGACTAGGTACATAATGGCAAAAGTGGCCAGCGTCTGTCCTGTAGCTAGCTCAAATACAGCAGACATTACTCTGACCACTCTTTTTTTTTTTTTTTTTGCCAAATTTTGTACCATTAGCAATAGCCTAGCAGGAGGCAATTTAAAAGGGTCAGATGCTGGAGTCCTTAGAAGTAGCCTATTCAATTTTAATGCACTCTGTATTAGCACTCATCTTTGGGAGCAGGACTGGAAAGGGTGTCCCAGGGATCCAGATTAAAAAGATAAATAAACACATTGATTGTCTTAAGCCTTCTTGTAAAGTATAATTACTCGCATTGGGAATGAGTGGGGGTTTTCAGCTCCTGTAATGCAATCTTCCTGGAAGAGTACTGGATATTTCTGGAGAAGAAAAGGTTATGGTATCAAATAAAAGCGTGATTTACAAGGGGAGTGTCTTGTTTGTGCTATAGTGCAGGCTCATCTGAAAACTGACGTAATTTCTTATTCCTTCAATCAAACCTGGAGCTGCAGGTGTCACCAGGAGCTAAGTCTCAGTCAGGTCACAGTGTATTTGAGTATCTTGTGCCATGCTGCTTCAGAACTGATTCCTGCTTGTCTTTCTGCTGCTATATTTTTGACTCTTGCACTTACTGAGCATACTGTTCTCTATAGCACTTCCACTATAATTTATTCGATATAATGGGAGTATGGGCTATAACTGGCCCACCATTTCAATAAAGTAAGAATTCAGATTCAGACTAAGAATTCAAGCTTAGCTGATGGTGGTTTCTATCAGGAATTGAGGGCTGGTCTAGTACCAGCCTGAGTCTTCTTCATGTTCTTAGCACTATCCACAGTTCAGTGCAGTTCCTCAATCTAGTCCCCTCTGCTTCTAAAAAGATGCAGGAGAAAATGTTCTTTTCCCCTTTATTTGTCTTTTAGGTGCATTTCATTTTCTTTTTGCACTGGTCAACAACACAAGTACATTACTGAGAATAACAGTAGTGGCTTAGTGGTTTGAGCATTATAATTGTTAATTGGAAAAAATACACTTTTTTATAATATAGATAAAGTGGTTTGAAATCTGTACCATGAATATACAAGGTACTGTTATGGAGAAATCTTATACTGAACAACAAGGAAGTGACATTTGTGCTGACCACATAATTCCTTGATATTATCAGCTATGGTAACAAGACTTCAGTTCAGTTGTTATATGCCTTGTAGGGATCACATGCACCAATTTAATATGGTCTGAATTACTTCCCTCTCCTGCCTTTCTCCATTTTAAACTAGTGTCTCCAGATAGAGCCTGTTCCTATTTTACTATGAGTATTAAGAGCTTTAGCGGTAGCTAACAGCATGCTATGCATTGTCCAAACAAGAAAAGATTACAGATCACACACAGACGTGGCTTAATGGGTTGTCCAACAGTTAATAAGACTGTAATCTTATGTATGCATGCCTAGGAGTAAGCCCCAGTTTAACAGTAGGACTCACTTATTAGTAAACTATTTATAAATGTGGATTGCACAGTTATTTTAATGGTGGAAGTTAAAAGATCATATCCTTTATTTAATTGAAGTGTTATGTCACTCCTCAGCCATGAAGGATCCTGGAGTAGTTTACATATAATCAGATAGTAGCAGATAGTCCCTGCCTGGGATTTACAATATAAAGCTCCATGACACACAAGGGAGGGAAAAACCAAAGGGAAGGGGGCAGATTACCTTCCCTCTTGTGTACTTTCAGCTAATTTTCAAATAGAAACTGGCAAAGTCTAAGAAAACTCATGCATATTAATAAAAGCTCTTCCTTTTGACCAGTGTTTTGAAAGTATGCTAGAGGCTGGAATGCCACAACCAGTTTTTAAATTCTTACTGAAATAGAAGGTGGCATGGAATTTATAATTCCACATTCACTGGTATTGTTTTTACCTTTCTCATCAACAGCTCTGGGCAGGTTAAAATATTTTATCCTCAAAATTATGACTGACCAGTGAGATTTAGTCAGAAATAAATACAGTGAGAGGGAACAGATTGTCAATACAGTCATAGTCTGTTCTTTCGTACTGTCCTGTTTTTTTCAGCAGTGCTATGCGGGACGCCTTCACCCCTTCCATGCATTTTAATGGAAGTGCTGTAGCAACCGTGAAATCTCTCGAGCGAGGTGCTGCAATCTCCACCTTGGCCTTGATGCCCCCTGCCATTTCTTTTCGTCCCACCGCTGCTTGCCTTTAGCGTTTGGCCCTTTCTGAGCTGTGCACGAGAAGCAAGCTCTATTTGCATTAGCTGGGGTTTAGGTTCCACCTCAAAGATGCCACCCCTTTATTTTCATTCCTTATTACATTGTCAACTTGGGCGATATTTATGGTCCAACCCAGTTTATCCTTGCAACAACCCTCTGAGCTGGGTTGGGCTGAAGGTCCGATCACTGGAGCAAAACTGCCGTTTGGAGACACTTCACCGGGAAAGGCAAAGCCTTCGCACCCCTTCCTGGCAATGAGCGACTGGCTCGGGGCCGAGATCGTGCGGGACGCGCTAATGCAGCGCAGCGCTCTCCTTTCACCCCCGCCACTCCCTCATCTTACACAAGCCCTCTCTTCCCGCCTCGCCCCGGTCACGAAGGCGGGTGCTTCGCTAGTTTGACAGGGAGTGGGTTGCATGTGTGAACGACTTGGAGAAACTAAATGTTGGGTGGCGTTCGCGAATAACATAATTGATTAGAAGAGCTTGGAAGGAAGGAAGGAGGCAAGCCAACAAGCGGGCCGGGAAAGCACCCTCGCCTCTCCTGCGCGGCCGGGCGTCCCCGAGTGAGGCGAGGCAGCAGCGCAGGTGTCAAAATCACCGCCTGGCGCGCCGGCTTCAGGGAAATCGTGGAGAGCGACTCGACAGAGGGGAGGGCGCTTGCGAGTGCCCTTCCGGCTCAGGCCCGTCCTGCCCGGCTGCTCCCTGCTGTCTTTCCGACGCTTCCCCGGCCGTGCCGGCCGTTCTGGAGAGGAGACCCGCCCTGTCCCTCGAGGCCGCCGTCTCCCGCTCTTCCGAGAGGCTCCGCTTCCGACAAGCTTTGTGGGGAGCACCGCCTCATGGCTTGCAAGCCGGAACGTGCGAGCGAGGCGGTGGGCCGACTTTAAGGACGGGGAGCTGGGAAGCGCGAGCAAGGAGGGGGAAGCAGCTGCTGCGCTTGGTGGGGGGATAGTTAGGAGGGGGCTGAGGCGCTCCTGAGCATGTGGCCCCAACTTCTCCACAGCTTGTTGCCGCTTCGGTCGGCAAGCCGTGAAATATGCCTCTTCTCTCTTGCAGCTGCCCGGGGGCTTGGGCCCGATCCGTGCCCTGTATGAGAAGCTGAGCCAGTTCCCTTGCGTAACATACGCCAGCGTAGGAGTTGGCCATGCTGGTTGTGGGGGCGCCGCGTGCCTGCCCCTCTACACGGGTGAGCCAGTTGCGCCGTCGGGGCCTTCGCCTCACACGCCTCCACGGTGGGGCGGGGGGGTCCCTTCCAGACAGCGAGTTACATGAGCAAAGCTGGGGGTGAGCCGATGATCTCTGTGCAGTTCTTCTCCCTAAGTGTTTCCACTCGTGAATAATAGTAATTAAAAACACAGGCACCCCCCTGTGCACGTAAAGTAAGGAACTCGAGGTGCTTATGCATTTTGTAAACTAATCGACAGGATCATACCCCCACCCTAAGGAACAGAAAATGACTCTCCTAGGTAAATAAGCCCAATGATCAGAAAAACAGCACTGGGGCAGCATTGCTATGACTTGCTTAAGTTAGATGAGGTTTCTGCTTCGGTGAGTGACTTGAGCGAAAGGGCCAGGAAAATAAAAACAGGGTTTGAAAAATTCATAGGTGCAAATTTGGCATGTGTAAGGATTTTGCATATTTATGTGTGACTCTTGTTCAGTCTGATTTTTTTAGAATTGTCAAACCAAGCTTCTTATTGGTCAGACAGTTTAGCTATTTAAAAACATTGATACACAAATATACCATTTTGAACATTAAGACTTCAACACAGCACTTGTGAAATGCGGAGCTGTAATGTCCTTTCCTGTGAATTCTGTCACAAAGAGTGGTTGATTTAAAACAACCATTTACGTAGCAGCTGATGAAAATAATATTGGATTGGCCCTAGTCCCTGCCAGTTGCACTTTTGGGATTAGAGGTTTCCTAGAGGCATCAGGGCAGAAAATGAAATTGCCTTTTAACAGCCTGCCTCCAATGCAGCCTTGTGTTAGTCAAATAGAAAGCAAATTGACCCAGTCTTGTAGAAACTCACCCAGGTTTCATAATTATATGCACTGCAAATAGCTGACTTCACTGTGCAAGAATAACACTCTTCAATTTATAAAAAGAAAGGGGATGATTGCATCTTTTAACACAACTGATTGGCTGCGCCTTTATGGTAAAGAGACGTGTGTATAATATTAAGGGCAGAATGGTAAGGCTGGTGTGGAATCTTATGACATGATTCGATGTCTAAGAAATCCGGTATCAGACCTGTTAGTACAAAATGGACCTATGGTAACAAAAGGATAAAAGAACAGGTTGGGAGAGTGATCAGCAGATCAGCTCTAGAAGATAGTATTGCTTAGTGTGTTTTGTGTCTTGCCACTCCTAGATTCCCATTTTGCTACTCTTTGATCCTTAAGCTTGGCAAAACCCAAGTATTGCTTTGCCTGCTGAAGCTCCATCCCTCTGGCTGTATTACATCAAATTCAAGTGCTGAGCCATTATTCCCCAAAATGTAAACTTCTATAAGAGCAATTCAGTAAAGCCATATAAGTTACAAGTAATCAAGAGAGAAATTCTTTGCTTTAAACAAAAATCTCCCTTAAAGTTATACATCAGTCAAGTGTGCTCATGATGTTTTTGACTGGAATCCCAAAGATACTGCAAACAACCTCTGCCAGATATCCCCAGTGTAGCTAAATGTCAGTATTCCTGAAGACCACAACGACTTGAAGCCTTCCATTTATTTGACATTTGCCATTTTCCTGTTCTACCCTAATATTATTAATGAGAATGGAAAGACAAGCCCTTGGGTTTTTGCCTAAAGCTATAGTTCTAAGTGTACATACTTGGAATCAGGCCAAGCACTGGCAAAACAGCCAAGGATCTCATAGCCTAATTTTTATTTAATGCTAGTGTACATTTTACAACTATATTTTGGTAGCAGAATATTGACTGTCAGTTGTCTTTCTTACTCAGTTTTAGCTTCTCTGTATACTGGATTTCAGGATGACAGCAGGACTGTATATGACCATTAAATAAATGTGTATTTGTACATACATATTTATAAACAGAATACGGAAATGTTCCTTTTGAAATTAAGATTCAGAATATTCCTTAGTAAGCCCTTATTCATGCTGCTTGCCTGCCATTTCAGTGCCAATAAAGCTCACTAAATGTAGAGTGCAATATTTATCTCTAACACAATTAACTGCTATCAACTAATTAAATCTAGGAACATTTTTCCTGCCAATAAACTCCTTTCTCTCCAGACCAGGTGCTCTTTTTCCTTCTAATGCTACAGTCAGCCTCTTTATTTGAACTCTGATAAGCTAATGCATGGACAGGAATGGGTGAATTTAATTCAGATGACCATCAGGTATACTACTGCGGGCAAGAATCCCTCAGAAGAAATGGAGTAGCCTTCATAGTCAATAAGAGAGGAGGAAAAGCAGTACTGGGATACAATCTCCAAAATGACTGAATGATCTCAGTTCGAATCCAAGGCAAACCATTCAGCATCACAGTAGTCCAAGTCTATGCCACAACCACTGGTGCTGAAGAGGCTGAAGTTGGCCGGTTCTATGAAGGCCTACAACACCTTCTAGAATTAACTCCAAACAATGATGTCCTTATCATCATGGGGGATTGGAATGCTAAAATTGGAAGCCAAAAGATAACTGGAATAACAGACAAGTTTGGCCTTGGAGTACAAAATAAAGCAGGGCACAGGTTGGTAGAATTTTGTCAGGAGAATAAGATGGTCATAGCAAACACTCTTTTCCAGCAACCCAAGAGACGACTCTACACATGGACATCACCAGATGGTCAACACAGAAATCAGGTTGACTATGTGCTCTGCAGCCAAAGATGGAGAAGCTCTATACAGTCAGTAAAAACTAGACCAGGAGCTTACTGTGGCTCAGATCATGAGCTTCTGGTTGCAAAATTTAGGCTTAAACTGAAGAAAGTAGGGAAAAGCACTAGGCCACTCAGGTATGACCTGAATCATATCCCTGATGAATATACAGTAGAGGTGGCAAATAGATTTAAGGAATCAGATCTGATAGACAGAGTGCCTGAAGCACTATGGACGGAGGTTCGCAACATTGTACAAGAGGCAGCAACTAAAACCATCCCAAAGAAAAAGAAATGCAAAATGGCTGTCTGAGGAAGTTTTACAAGTAGCTGAGGAAAGAAGGGAAGCGAAAGGCAAGGGAGAAAGAGAAAGATACAAACAATTGAATGCAGAATTCCAGAGAATAGCTAGAAGAGATAAGAATGCCTTCTTAAATGAACAGTGCAAAGAAATAGAAGAAAACAATAGAATAGGGAGGAGCAAAGATCTCTTCAAGAAAATTGGAGATATGAAGGGAGCATTTCATGCAAAGATGGGCATGATAAAGGACCAAAATGGCAGGGACCTAACAGAGGCAGAAGAGATTAAGAAGAGGTGGCAAGATCACACAGAAGAACTATACAAGAAAGAGTTTAACATCCCTGATAACCACGATGGGGTGGTCACTGACCTCGAGCCAGACATCCTGGAATGTGAAGTGAAATGGGCCTTAGGAAGTCTAAGCAACAACAAAGCTAGTGGAGGCAACAGTATTCCAGCTGAGCTATTCAAAAGCCTAAAGGACAATGCAGTAAATGTGCTATACTCAATATGCCAGCAAATTTGGAAAACTCAAGAGTGGCTACAGGATTGGAAAAGGTCAGTTTACATTCTGATCCCAAAGAAGGGCAATGCCAAGGAATGTTCAAACTACCACACCATTGCACTCATTTCACATGCTAGCAAAGTGATGCTCAAAATCCTACAAGCTAAGCTCCAGGAGTATGTGGACCGAGAACTACCAGAAGTACAGGCAGGATTTTGAAGAGGGAAAGGAACTAGAGATCAAATTGCCAACATACGCTGGATCATGGAGAAAGCTAGGGAGTTCCAGAAAAACATCTACTTCTGCTTCATTGACTATGCTAAAGCCTTTGATTGTGTGGATCACAACAAATTGTGACAAGTTCGTAAAGAGATGGGAGTACCTCTTATTTGTCTGTTGGCAATTCTAGACAGCATACTAAAAAGTAGAGACATCACTCTGCCAACAAAAGTGTGTATAGTCATGGCTATGGTTTTCCCAGTTGCAATGTATGGCTGTGAAAGCTGGACCATAAGGAAGGCTGAGCGCAAAAGGACTGAGGCCTTTGAATTGTGGTGCTGAAGGAGACTCCTGCGAGTCCCTTGGACCGCAAGGTGATCAAACCGTTCAGTCCTAGAAATCAACCCTGACTGCTCTTTAGAAGGCCAGATCCTGAAGATGAAACTCAAATACTTTGGCCACCTAATGAGAAGGAAGGACTCCCTGGAGAAGAGCCTAATGCAGAGGATGAGGTGGCTGGATGGAGTCACTGAAGCAGTTGGTGTGAGCTTGGATGGACTGTGGGGGATGGTGGAGGACAGGAAGGCCTGCAGGGGGGTTGTCCATGGGGTCGCAATGGGTCAGACACGACTTCGCAACTAACAACAACAACAAGCTAATGCATGTACCTTCAAGTAGAAGGTACATCTTGTTGCTTTTCTGACTCTGAATCAATTGATATGCAGGCAATGTGCATAGTACGGTACTCCAAAAACTAAATGATGACCTGTAGTGAATCTCTTTTATTTATTTTAAATATGTGTAATTTTAAGAACTAATTTGGGGGAAAATACTCCAATTTAAAAAAATAAGAGTTTAAAAGGTGTTTCAGATTTTTAAATATGAAACATTATGTTATAAAACACCAGCTTCAGTCACAAACAGTATGTTATAGTAATATTTAAAAGCTGAACCTGAAATAATCAGGAACAAGAGTAAATCTCAATGGGGAATATTAATGAATATAGTTTAATAATCAGCTCCTGTATTCGACAGCCAATCCTGCTGTGTTAATAAACATCATGGGTTGTTCTCATGTTTTACATTGACATTGTATTTCAGCTGATTAAGAGGAAATGTTTATTAATCTTTCTCCTTTGGAGGTTTCACTCAACTGGTGAACACTGGAATACTCTGTGGAAAGTAAAGGGGAATATACAGTTAAGCATGCTATTTATAAATCTGTTTGGAATGTAATTCATTTTGCATGGGTGAAATGAGAAGACCTCTCCTAAAAAGATATAAGGAGCACTTGGTCAATATATCCCCTTCATGGATCACTGCCTTGCCTTGGCAAAGGGGCTTGTGTAGGTCAAAGAAGCTATGAGCTAAGCTGTGTAGGGGCACCCAAGACAGAAAGGTCAGAGCAGAGAGCTCTGACAAAAGCTGATCCACTGGAGAAGGAAATGGCAACCCACCCAGTATCCTTGCCATGAAAACCCCATGGACAGTACCAAAAGGCAAAAAAACATGATGCCAGATGAGGCCCTCGGGTCAGAAGGTGTCCAATGTGCTACTGGGGAAGACCAGAGGGCTAGTTCTAGTAGTGCCAGAAAGAATGAAGCAACTGGGTCAAAGCCAAAAGGACACTCAGTTGCGGATGATTCTGGTGGTGAAAGGAGAGTCCAATGCTGCAAAGATCTATACTCCATGGGAACCTGGAATGTAAGATCTATGAATCCAAAAAGTTCATATAGTCAAGGCTATGGTTTTCCCAGTTGCAATGTATGGCTGTGAAAGCTGGACCATAAGGAAGGCTGAGTGCCGAAGAATTGAGGCCTTTGAATTGTGCTGGCGAAGACTCCTGCGAGTCTCTTGGACTGCAAGGCGATCAAACCAGTCAGTCCTAGAGGAGATCAACCCTGACTGCTCTTTAGAAGGCCAGATCCTGAAGATGAAACTCAAATACTTTGGCCACCTAATGAGAAGGAAGGAAGGACTCCCTGGAGAAGAGCCTAATGCTGGGAACAATAGATAGCAAAAGAAGAAGGGGACAGCAGAGGATGAGGTGGCTGGATGGAGTCACTGAGGCAGTCGGTGTGAACTTAAGTGGACTCCGGGGGATGGTGGAGGACAGGAAGGCCTGCAGGAGGGTTGTCCATAGGGACTTAGTAACTAGCAACAACAAAGGCCGATATGTAGCGTAACAAAACATGTGCTAGACTGTGGTCCATACATATGAGGAAGAAACATGCAGGCAAAGTAACTGCAGTAAAGATCTTTGTGCTGAGGATTGAATGAAACCCCCAAAGGAGAAAGCTTTCATCGTTTAAAATCAGTTTAAATCTTAAATGTATTAACATATCTTTTTAATTTTTTTAAATCTATTGTTTTTAAAACAGTAAAATTCAAATCTATACAAGTTATAAACTGGATGTGCTATTAGTGGTTTTGTTCTTTGTTTCTGAACTCTGTGCTCTCCTCACGTATCTGTGTGCAGCAGAACCGGTTAATCAGTCCAGAGCTAGTAGTCATATACACTAGACTGGGATGTTCCTACATTTAGAAACCCAGCTAGCACAACTTCTCTTATTTTAAGCTTCCTTCTTTCCTGCAGAGTGGTGCCAACCTGACCTAGGGTGCTTTCAGCAGCTGCAGTTCAGTCGTCAGTATATCCTGCACCTTGATGGCAGAGCAGTTGTCTCAGTTACTCCAGTCGGTGTGCCAGCTGAGATCCGAGACCAGTATGTGGAACACCTGGTTGCCCCAGCACTCCTGCTCATGCTTTAGAAGTTCAAGCTAAGCTTGGGCTGCACCTGATTTGCACAAACTAGGATAGAAACCTGAAGAAGAAGGCTTTCCCGAAGGAATGAGGATGCATGAGATGGGACTTATTAAAAGCTGATACTTTTAAGTGGCATCATATTTTCCTCCCATACACTTGTGTGTTGCACTAGCCCAGTTACTGCCAACTGGAAATGGTGCCAGTTCGCCAGCGCAACAGGAAAAGGACTTTCCCAGCCATGCTGCCTGAAATCCCTCAACTGGAGCAGATGGGGATATAGGACTGCATATTTGACAAACAATCACTCGCTTTCCTGAGTGATGGCCTTTTCCCGGGTTGCAGGGTTTCCCCTAATGCAAATGTGAGGAAGTTGGCTTTTCCTTTTGGGGTGCATCCAGATGGTGCCTTTATAATGAAATCAGCCTGGTTTGCACTTTGTTTCTCTGGTTAAAATACTCCAGAGCTGGCTGTGCTACTCATGCTGGTCCCTCCCTTCTCTTGTGCCACAGACTGCTGATCAGAATGTCACCTACTGGGAGGCACAAGGCTGTTCTCACTCACCGCTTGGAAATGGGGCAGAAACAAGAGGTGCTGGAGGTAAAATAGTACATGTGGGAGACAACAGAGTTCAGCCTGGATTCTAGGGCAATAATCTGCCACCCCTAGAGAGCAGGGGTGGTGTTTGCAACACTGTACACCAAAATAATTCACGTAGATATAGCAGGGATGGTGCTGCAGAACCCTGATATAAGCAATCCTCAAAGTTGGTTGCTTGTGGAATAAAAGGACTCAGTATTGCCTTTCTTTAAAGCATGGAAGTCTGAGATTCAGATTCAGTGTGATTAAATGAAAAATGCAAGGCCTTACAAAGTAGAGAACTTCGGTGAGGGATATATGCCTATGTGGGTGATGCTTGATAGAATTAAAGCTGCATGGAGTCTCACCAGTAATTCCCTTCACAGAGATTTTTCTAGGCATGTGACCCTGCCTTCCTGTGGCCAGCAGCCATTTTAACCATTCTAGAGCAATTGTCATAGATTTGGTAGATTCTTGCACATTGATTGGGAAAGTAATTCTAAATGGTTTCTTATAATTAGGTGTTGACATCTTGGAGTGTCTGCTTCTTGCCGCCTTTTTCAAACATAGTAGTGGGACCAGGGAGGAAAACAGATGTGGGGTTTGTGGGAATAATAATAGGCAGGCCTATTGGTTATTCAGCCCAGGAAAATGACAGTGGGTATTGCCTTGTACTCATTTCTGTGTCCTGGCAGGTCTGGAGCAGCAGTGGGAGGGTGAGGTATGTCAACCTCACAGCGCTGGATAAGCATGGCAGAGTATACACAGACGGTAAGGGCAGCAGCAAAGTGGAGCAAGAGGTGCTCCTTTGTACTTGTGTTCTCTGTACTCTGTGGCATAGCACTTGTCCGTGCTCCTCCTGAACAGCCTCTCTCCAATGACAAGCGTTCCCCTGGTGTTCAGTGCTGTGTGCTTGCCTCCTGCTTGTCATCTCGCTATTGCTGCAATCTGGAGATCCAGGAGCACCCCAGTTATTACAACATCAGTGGCAAAGCCAATCTTGCCTTCCATGATGAATGGCCAAGACATCAACTGGGTTAACATGTTAATACAAGCACTTCTGAGGTTTTACCATCATGGGCTTGCTGTGTTGTCTGGTACCCATTCTGTTTGTTTGGGGCCTGGAAACAACGGGCTGTTGTACAGTTTCTGCTTACCATGACGAGATTTTTTTAAAAAATCCCTTTGTGGGCTGTACTGGCTTGGATGTGTTAAAGATGGAGGTCCAATCAGGAGAAGGAAGAATGAGAACCTGCCTCAACATCAGGAGACTGAATGATTAGGAAGAGGTGGCTGAAGTTGGTCAGGAACAATAGAGTAATGAACAGAGGATTTGTTTGTGGGAACTGCTGAGATGCATGATGGGAGCAGGAAAATGGGGCATGGAGTGGAATGATGGAACTGGCTGGTGTTTGTGATCTTCTGTAAGGGAGAATGTGATAGTTACCACTAATCCTGGCAACACCCCGCACTTGCTTATTATAATATGTGAACCCATCCATTGGGTCCCAGAGCCCTGCTACTAGCGGAACTCAGGCTGTAATGCTGTTGGCCAGACTGTAATCACCTACTAGTTTACTTGGGCATGAGTCCCACTAAACAAAGTCTCTCAGTGCAGCCCTACACAGAAGAAAATCCCACTGAATTGAATAGGCCTGCTGTAGCTGAGCCTCAGCCTGTTTCTCTCTGTAGTCAGATGCCATGGGTACTTCTGGAGGGATGGCCTCTAGCACTAACAATGAGAAGGCATGGTGCAGCTATGCCTCCATTATTTGTTCCTGGACAGATTTTCTGCCTGGGTGGGGAGGAAGTGGTGGTGGGGAAACACAGGAGCTTGTGAGTGGAAGTCAACAGCCTGATGTTGCATAAAATTATCTGAATCATTCAGGGCAATGGCACAGTAAAGGCTCTTCTCAGAGGACCCTGAGTGGGTCGGATGAAAATCCAAGAGAGAGCTGCGTCCTATCAGCATGCATGACATGTCTACTGCCATACTTCCATAGGCACTTGTCCTACATATCTTTGAGGGGATATATGATTTAGATATCATAGGGAAGGTACCCTAGAAATGATGGGCAGCTGTCCATCATCACCTTTTCAGACTTGCCTGTACGATATGAGAACCTCTTAGTCCTAGACCAGTAGCTTATTAGATTGCCCTCCATTTCCCAGTGCTATTAATTTAGAGTGCAGTGTTTCTTGCTGATCTCCCTAGATAGTGATAATCAACCACAGCTGCAGGCATTGTCATTTGGGGTCTCATCAAACATTTCAATATAATGTGTGAAGTAGCTCAAAACTTGGTCAACCTCAACATATCTTTGGAGGTGGTCATTTCTACAACAGGCCTGGTAGTTCTTCTGAGTGATTCTCTAATTAGCTGAAATGGAATCAAAAACCAATTGTCTTTATGAATCATCACTGTCATTCCCTTTCCTTGACTGATCTTCCTCAGACTTATCACCCAGAGCTATCTGAGCAAACACTGGCCTAGATTCAGAGGCACATTTTTCTCCTACCAGCTTGCAAGTGCAAAAATAAAACTATGACATATTATATAATATCTGGAAAATGTGAGTCCCAGAATCTGAGAACTACCTAAAATAGCTTTTGAAGGTGGATGCCTGTTAGGTATGGCTGACTGTGAATTCTGGAGTGTTCTAGCAGTAAAGGAAAAATGACCAGTCCATGTCAGGTGAAAGCTATGCTGTATTTCTGAGAATTGTTTTCCAATACTAGACATATACAGCTACAGATCAGGAGTAATTTGTCTGGAAGAAATGCTGGGCTCATCAAATTGTCTTTGTTGCACAGAATATATATTTACTGTTATGCAAACCTTTTTACATATTGCATCCTAGAGCAGAACGGCAGTGAAATTTAGCCAAATTTGAATGTGCAGCACAATTTAAGACCCTCAAAACACAGGTGGTGCTGCTTTAGAATTCTTCGAGGCTTTGCTCAGAAGCCTGTCGACTTCCAGTTAGCAAATCCTAGTCTATGGCAAGCATGACCATCCATGCCTAACTAAAGCTTGCTTTTGAGGCAAAAATTTACTTTCTCCTCTAACCCCTCGAGCCCAGCAGGGTTATTTTGGGATAATAATAATGAGTAACTCATAACTGCTCCCTGTCCTTACTGACTGTATATTAGAATTGCAGCAGACACAGGAACTGATGTCCCTTATTCTGACTTGTTCAGTCCCCTCAGTTGCTTTAGGGCAAATAGCGGTTCAATCAGTCAAACTGTTACTAATACGTGTGTGGTCAGTGCTTAAGCTCCTGATCTCTCCTGTTTGCATTCTCTGTTGGTGGTGTGGGTTACTGTGGGGAGAGGCTTTACTTACTTCCTCCTCTGTCCTTCTGCTACCAGGACAGTTTGGGTGTTTTGCGTGGTCCAGCTCAGAAAAACAGATCCTGTATGTTGCGGAGAGAAGACGCCCGAAAAGGCAACCGCTTTTCCCTCCAGATAGGTCCCTCAAAGAAGGAGACAAACAAAGTGAAGCAAGAAAGGTATCCCCTTTATTATTTATCATTCACATAATTGTACTGTGCCAAATGCTTTACAGTCATTAAAATCTGTGAGGCAAGCCAAACAGTCTCTCCCTCATTTCTCAGAGCAAAACAGCCTAAACAAATGTGCCTGCTTTTACATTAAATGAACAAGGAATTTATAAAATACTTTATTAAATATTTATATAAATCATATTATACATAATATAAATATCATATAAAATTTATAAAATATAATATACAAGCCAAATTAGCAAAACACTTCCCTGAGGGCTAGTGGCATGCCCTGCTAACATTTAATTTAGGATACACAAGCTTAAAATAACTTCCCACTACCAAGGGCAAAGCAGCAAGATCCAAGCTCCATGCTGCATCCTATAGTGCTATCCTATAGGTACAGCAGCAAAAATGTAGTCAGTACCAGACTCTACACAAAATGAATAGATTGACCTTGAGCCTCTGGTGTGGACTGATCTTAGAGATCCTGATTTGCTCAAGGCCTCTTAGGGGTTAGAGAAGAGTTCGAGAGCGTTGCTGGAATCCTCTTTTCCTCTGTTCCAGATTGGTGATAGCACTGTAGATAGTCTCTGTTGAAGGAAATATATTCCATATGCAAGCAGCATACATTCTGCTGAAAGGACTCAGTTCTTGGATTCGAGAGCTATGGAGTCAACCGTCAGTGGCAAATTCTGTCATCATGATAACCCAGAAAGACTGACCAAGGTTCTCTCTTGTACTGTATGTCTCGTGTAAAAGGACTATTGCAACCCAGGGCCTCTCTCTGCTTTCCATAAAGACCATGCTGCATGAAATCAGTGGAGGCTTCTTCAGGGCCAATTCTTACTCAACCTCTCCATGCAGCTGCTGGCAAATGTAAGCCAAATGAGATAACTACAGCACCTGCATTATGTGGGCGAATTATCAGGGCCCTGGAGAACAGTTTGTGGCATTTAGAATACAGGTAGCATATGGAAGCAAGTCATGAACCTCACCTCACTCAGTCGACAGGCAGTTGGTCTGCAGGAGGCCCTGGAGAGTGGAAGATACCTGCATGTAACCTTCAGGCTTCCCACGGCTCTCTCATGCAGCTACTCTTCCCTGTGATTCTGCCCTAGGAGGGGCAGTTTGTGTACAATGACAACTGGGGAGAGGCACTGGCTGATAAGAGCGTTCCTGTCCTGTGCATGCTGAACACTGAAACCTGTGAAGTCGCAGTGCTGGAGGGCATCCCAGGGCACATCTCCCCTGGGCAGGTTAGTGTAATGCGGCGTGCAGGTTAGTGGGATGTTACTGCAGCCTGACAGAGATCACAAGCATTTCAGAATGACAGAGAGGAGCAGGGTTTTAAATAGACTGAGAGGCTCTGACCCAGTTCTACTAGTCATGCATTATTACATGTTTTTTGGTTAGGGAAGATTGAGAGGACTCTCTGGGTGATCCTGGGCCCTGGAGCCAGCTCTTAGTTCTCAGGACTACACTTCCCTTCATGTATCTTGCACCTTTTAGAAGGGCAAAGTACCTCTCTGAAGCCTTGTCTCTGAACTGGAGTGCACCTTTGGACTGAACAGGAATCAGTCCTGTGCCCTATTGCCTCACAAGCAGTGTTGTGAAAGTGCAAAGTCAGCTTTGCCCCAACTCAGGTAGAAATTAAGTTTCTCTAAACACTGCACTCCTTGCCAGTTGCATCTGATCACCTCTTTGGCACAGCACACTAACTCATCGGCTCCCCACACAGATGTGAACTTTCCCCCTGGGTGTCTCCAGATGGAGGACCTCTAGCTCTACCAGTAAAAAGCACTGTGTTTCCAGTCAAGCCTTCATATCACCATTGTCCTGCCTCATTCATATAACTTTGCGGGGGATTCAGACATCCTAGTCATGTTCTTGTAACTTTTCCCATCACTCCACCCATCTCTTCCTTCCAGCTGAAAATCCACTAAGAAAAAGATACAAAATACCCTGTACCTTTAGCTGGTAGCAGTGGTACCCTTCTATCTGGAAGTACAGTGGTACCTTGGCTCACAAACTTAATCCGTTCCAGGACTCTGGTCATGACCCAAATTGGTCGTGAGCCAAGTTAAATTTCCCCATAAGGTTCAATGTAAATAAGGTTAATCCGTTCGGTAACCATTTTTTAAATCAGAAAAATGTGAAGCAAAGTGACAACAACAAAGTTCGCGGCGATCTCCCCAGCCCCAAGCACAAGCGCGGCCATCTCCCCACCCCGCCAGCACAACTGAGATTGCACCTGTCATCCCTGCATGCGCCCATCATCCCTGGGGGTGGGGGGAAGAGACAGGTGTGATTGCGGGCTCATTGGGGGAGGGAGAGATGGGCACAAACGGTGTGCTTTGGGTGGGGATCGCAGTTCCGTTCATGCAGGGAAGGCGTGCCTGATCAGAGGCACGCTCCTGCAGGAAAGACAGGCAGCATCTCGGCCATCTTCCCCGCGGCTCTGCTTTGCTGCTCCCATCTTTCCTGCAGCAGCGCGCCTCTGATCATGCATGCCTTCCCTGCACAAATGGAACTGCGATCATGGCCATCTCCCTACTTGGGGGGGGGGGGGGGGATGGCTGCAATCTTGGTCACCACCCAAAGTGGTGTTCGCAACTCAAGTCAAAATTTTTCAGAAATTTTTGTTTGTGACCCAATTTGTTCATGAACCAAGGCGCTCGTGAGCCAAGGTACCACTGTATCCATTATCATCTGGGCCCTCCCTAACTTTATGTGTCTAAGGAACACTGAGGCCCTAGCAAAAACCACACCTAGAAGCACCTGTTCTGTTTACTGCGAGCAGCACTCAGGATGAGGGATGAGAGCTAAGGTGTGTGTGGAATTTCCAGTGAAAAGCTGGAGCCCTCGTCCACACTGAGAACACAGTGCTAGACCAAGGCCCTTAGCTGCTGCTCCTTCAAAATAAAAGTAGTCCTTCCAAGCCCAGTTAAAACAAAAAGTAATGTAGTATGTAGTTTGACCTTCATTTGATGCCTTAAGCCAGCCAAACTACGGCCTTAAACCAATGCAGGGACTACGTATCTTTTTCAATGCCTTCATAGTGGATATGAACGGCATGTGCATTCATGCAAGGTCAGCTCAAGCAGAGCCTAGTTCAGCGGGAGGCAACCAGACAAAATTACCTCGTTTGCATGACATTACAGCCCATCGTGGGTAACTAGCTGCAGTGGGTCGTCATATCACTGAATATGAGAAAGTTTCCTGAAGAATGGCATATTTTTCAGCAACAAGTCATCCTGACCACCCATGTCTTGTTCTAGGGGTTGTTTGATCACTCCTGAATTGTTGTGTCATCTGAACTCGGGGAAGCAATTTCATCATGGGTTGTGCAGATCAGCTTGCAAGCCTCTTAGCAAAAGCAGCGAAACCCGCTGCCACTTTTGTGATTCTCCCTTGCTGCCTCCACTAACAGCTACTCCACCAACACCGAAGTAGCACTTTGGCATGCCTGTCACCTTTTTCACCCCAGAAAATTGTGCAGACGTGTTTAGTATTTTGCTTAAAGTTATTTTGTCAGGTTTACAAGCACACAAGAGCACTCTTGTAGCTGTTACATGCCATCAAATTGTCTCCAACTTATGCTGATCCTGTGGATGAAAGCCCTCCAAAATTTCTTGTATGTGACACTCCTGCTGAACTCTTGTGAACTCAAGGCTGTGGCTTCTTTTCCACAATCAATGCATCCCGTATTTGGTCTTCCTTTTCTTCTTCCATCTCTGACTTTCCCTAGGGAGTCTTGCTTCTCATGATGTGCCCAAAGTATGACAGCCTCAGCCTTGTCATTTGTGCTTCTAGGGAAAGCTCTGGTTTGATTTGATCTAGGGATCTTATTTGTCTTTCTGTCAGTCCAAGCTATTCACAAAGATCTCCTCCAGCACCATTTTTCGGATGCATCAATTTTCTGCCTGTTAGCTTTCTTCACTGTCCAGCTTTCACATCCATACATAGTGATTGGGAATACAATAGTGTGAATAATCTTGGGTCTCCAGTGGAATGTCCTTACACTTGATGAGCTTTTCTTGTTTCTTCATTTCTGCCCTTCCAAGTCTCAGTCTTCTTCAGATTTCTTGGCTGTGGTCTACATTTGAATCGATGACTGAGCCAAAGTATGTAAAATGTTTTGAAATTTCAGTTTCTTCATTGTTGATAGTAAATTTCTACAATTCATCTGTGGTCAGGTTTTGGACTTATTTTTTTAATATTAAGCTGCAGTTCTGTTTTTGCACTTCTTTCTTTCATTTTCATCAGGAGTTGTTTCAATTCATTGCTGCTTTCTCCAGTAGTATAGTATCATCTGCATACCTTAATTTACTGGTATGTCTTCCTCCCATTTTCACTCCTTCCACTACCTGTAATCCAGCTTTCCACATGATCTGTTCTCTATACAATTGAACAGATGAGATAAAATACACCCTTGCCTGACACCTTTCGCTATGGGAGTCTCTTCTGTTTCTCCATATTGTGTCCTAACAGACTGCCCCATATGTGTTGTGTGGCTTGGTCAATTTCCTTATGTTCCAGTTATCAAAGGGAGCAAGAAGATGGAGTTAATGGCATATGTGAAAACTGACAAAAGCCAGATGGCACATAGGCTAATTTGTGCACAGTTGCCAGGATCAAACTGCTGAGCTGTCAAGTTAAAAGCACCAAAAGGGGGGAGGGGGGAATGGCAAATGTAGGTGCCCCAAGAGCAGTATCTCCCTCTTGGCAAAGTGATCTTCTTGCTTTTAAGTGTTGAACTGGCACTTTTCAATACCCTCTCCCTTTTCAAAACTTCTCCAACAGTTTCAGGAAGGACAAATATTGACTCTCCAGCCCTTTGTGTGTCCCCTTTTCAGAGCACTTACTGCCACAGTTACTGTGCCTCTGACATACATCTGAACACATTTGCACAATTTTCTGCAATCAGAAAAAACAAAAATGACCCCAACTGTGCATTTCTGAGGCTCTGCTTTTTAATTTTTAAAATGGCAAATGAGGAGGAGTGGTGATCAGAACAGGGAATGGGAAACAAGACAAGTTCTGCTGCCAGGGACCCTGGAATACTGGCTGGAGTACCAAAGCGGAGAACAATCCAGATTGAGCCCAGTAACATATCTGCAGGGTGATTTAGTGTGTCATGTGAACCTACCCAGTGGTATTTTCCCCATTACTTCCTGCCCAGTATCCCTTTAGCAGCTACAGAGGTAGAGGTAAAACCTACAAAGGCATCTCACCAGAAATAAGTCTCCAACTCAGTCCCTGGGGAGGTGCTGTCAAACCTTAACCCTGAAAATTGGATCAATTTCCACTTAGGGACTTTATTTAGGAATTGAATCAGCTGCAGCAGCATTTTGCACATCATAGAGGGGTCTCATAGAGACACAGCAAAACCCACCAGACAGCTAATACTTGGCTTTGCTTCTCTGGCCAGGCCTTGTGGTCCCCAGATGACATGGGTATAGTGTTTGTTGGCTGGTGGCATGAGCCGTTCAGACTGGGATTGCATGCTTGCTCCAATAGAAGGTAAGTGAAGGCTCATTAACCTGTAAGTGTGAAATAATGCACTGGCCCGGGGCCCTGCTCTTTGATTGGCTGCGCCAGGAGCAACCTCTGCCTTAAGGAGCATTGCAAGGGCACATTTTGACTCTTCTGTGTAAGGAGGAAGAGAGAAAAAACATATCCTGAATTTTAATGAGTTCTCAAGTCAGTGATCTCTGATCATTCAGATTGATGGAAGTGATAAGCATACAATTTGGAAGTAGTCCGCTGGATCTCCAGTCCAGCACCAACTCTGTCCTCACCAAACTGGTGGTGTTGTTGTTAGTCGCGAAGTCGTGTCTGACCCATCGCGACCCCATGGACAACATTCCTCCAGAACTTCCTGTCCTCCACCATCTCCTGGAGTCCACCCAAGCTCACACCAACTGCTTCAGTGACTCTAGCCACCTCAACCTCTGCCATCCCCTTCTTCTTTTGCCATCTATTGTTCCCAGCATTAGGCTCTTCTCCAGGGCGTCCTTCCTTCTCATTAGGTGGCCAAAGTATTTGAGTTTCATCTTCAGGATCTGGCCTTCTAAAGAGCAGTCAGGGTTGATCTCCTCTAGGACTGACCGGTTTGATCGCCTTGCAGTCCAAGGGACTCGCAGGAGTCTCCTTCAGCACCACAATTCAAAGGCCTCAATCCTTTTGCGCTCAGCCTTCCTTATGGTCCAGCTTTCACAGCCATACATTGCAACTGGGAAAACCATAGCCATGACTATACACACTTTTGTTGGCAGAGTGATGTCTCTACTTTTTAGTATGCTGTCTAGATTTGCCAACAGACAAATAAGAGGTACTCCCATCTCTTTAAGAACTTGCCACAATTTGTTGTGATCCACAGAATCAAAGACTTTAGCATAGTCAATGAAGCAGAAGTAGATGTTTTTCTGGAACTCCCTAGCTTTCTCCATGATCCAGCCTATGTTGGCAATTTGATCTCTAGTTCCTCTCCCTCTTCGTAATCCTGCCTGTACTTCTGGTAGTTCTTGGTCCACATACTGCTGGAGCCTAGCTTGTAGGATTTTGAGCATCACTTTGCTAGCATGTGAAATGAGTGCAATAGTGCGGTAGTTTGAACATTCCTTGGCATTGCCCTTCTTTGGGATTGGAATGTAAACTGACCTTTTCCAATCCTGTGGCCACTCTTGAGTTTTCCAAATTTGCTGGCATATTGAGTGTAGCACTTTAACCGCATCGTCTTTTAGGATTTTGAATAGCTCAGCTGGAATACTGTCACCTCCACTAGCTTTGCTGTTGCTCAGACTTCCTAAGGCCCATTTGACTTCACATTCCAGGATGTCTGGCTCGAGGTCAGTGACCACCCCATCGTGGTTATCAGGGATGTTAAGCTCTTTCTTGTATAGTTCTTCTATGTAATCTTGCCACCTCTTCTTAATCTCTTCTGCCTCTGTTAGGTCCCTGCCATTTTGGTCCTTTATCATGCCCATCTTTGCATGAAATGCTCCCTTCATATCTCCAATTTTCTTGAAGAGATCTCTGCTCCTCCCTATTCTATTGTTTTCTTCTATTTCTTTGCACTGTTCATTTAAGAAGGCATTCTTCTCTCTTCTAGCTATTCTCTGGAATTTTGCATTCAATTGGGTGTATCTTTCCTTTTCTCCCTTGGCTTTCACTTCCCTTCTTTCCTCAGCTATTTGTAAAACTTCCTCAGACAGCCATTTTGCTTTCTTGCATTTCTTTTTCTTTGGGATGGTTTTAGTTGCTGCCTCTTGTACAATGTTGCGAACCTCCGTCCATAGTTCTTCAGGCACTCTGTCTATCAGATCTGATTCCTTAAATCTATTTGTCACCTCTACTGTATATTCATCAGGGATATGATTCAGGTCATACCTGAGTGGCCTAGTGCTTTTCCCTACTTTCTTCAACTTAAGCTTCGGCAAATAGGGCAGCATAGAAATTTTCTAAATAAATAAAATAAATAAATAAGCCTAAATTTTGCAACCAGAAGCTCATGATCTGAGCCACAGTCAGCTCCTGGTCTAGTTTTTACTGACTCTATAGAGTGTCTCCATCTTTGGCTGCAGAGCACAGAGTCAATCTGATTTCTGTGTTGACCGTCTGCTGATGTCCATGTGTAGAGTTGTGTCTTGGGTTGTTGGAAAAGAGTGTTTGCTATGACCATTGTATTCTCTTGACAAAATTCTACCAGCCTGTGCCCTGCTTCATTTTGTACTCCAAGGCCAAACTTACCTTTTATTCCAGTTATCTTTTGGCTTCCTACTTTAGCATTCCAATCCCCCATGATGATAAGGACATCATTTTTTGGAGTTAATTCTAGAAGGTGTTGTTGGCCTTCATAGAACCGGTCAACTTCAGCCTCTTCAGAACCAGTGGTTGGGGCATAGATTTGGACTACTGTGATGTTGAATGGTTTACCTTGAATTCGAACTGAGATCATTGTGTCATTTTGGAGATTGTATCCCAGTACTGCTTTTTCTACTCTTTTATTGACTGTGAAGGCTACTCCATTTCTTCTGAGGGATTCTTGCCTGCAGTAGTATACCTGATGGTCATCTGAATTAAATTCTCCCATTCCTGTCCATTTTAGTTCACTGATTCCTAAGATGTCGATGTTCAGTCTTGTCACCTCTTGTTTGACCACATCCAGCTTGCCTTGATTCATGGATCTTACATTCCAGGTTCCTATGCAGTATAGATTTTTGCAGCATTGGACTCTCCTTTCACCACCAGATACATCTGCAACTGCGTGTCCTTTTGGCTTTGACCCAGTCGCTTCATTCTTTCTGGCGCTAGTAGTACTAGCCCTCTGCTCTTCCCCAGTAGCATATTGGACACCTTCCGACCTGAGGGGCTCATCTTCCAGAGTCATATCTTTTTGCCTTTTGGTACTGTCCATGAGGTTTTCATGGCAAAGATACTGGAGTGGGTTGCCATTTCCGTATCCTCCAGATATTTTTGACTACATTTCCCAGGATTTCTGGCCATTTTCCATCCTGACTGGGGCTGATGGGAATTGAAGTTTACAACATCTGGAGGATACCAGGGTGGTGGAGGCAGAGATAACTCAAGCAGCATTTCCTAAACTTGTGGTCAGCATTGATATGTTGCATGATAGGATGATAGGAATTGTAGTTTGGCACATCTGGAGGCTACCCTAAAGGATTCTTCATGGTGTTAGCCTAAATTTTCCTCAGTGAAAACTCCTTAAGGCAATGAAAACCACACCAAGACAGCATGTTCTGTGGAAGATAATGCAAATAATTAATCCTGAATTTATCCCTGGTTATAGGGAAAACGGAAGGGCAAGCCTTCCAGTCCTTGGCTTCATTTTTCTGCTAAATTCAGAATATAACCATTTTGACCCATTGCACTAATTTAATTCGTCATCGACTTGTTTCGGTGTGTGCAGGGGTGGGGAGGGAGCTTAAAAGCATCTCACCTTTTTGTGACTGGATCATTCTCTTCCCCCTCCCATAGGTCAGCCCTATTTCTCTTGGACCTCTCCAAAGGTAGCTGTGGTAAGTCATCTCAGCGGTAGCCTTTCAGGCTGCCTTTTGTGCAATTAGCTAGGGCCATTGCATTCAAACGCAGGACTGGAATCTTGTGTCTGTATTAGACAGCCTTACCAGTCAGGCTTCTGCAGCTACATCAAACTGAAAATACAGAACAAGGGAGGTTCCATCGGATCGGCAGATAGGGGAGAAAAACCCAGGCTAAGTATAATAATAGGAAAATGAGCTATAGTTTAATAGACTGTCAACAACCTGATTATATATTTAAAATTTTCTAAGATAATTAAAATAATCCAAAGGCCTACACTGTCATCTGTCCAAATAAAACACTTCTTCACTGGAGCCAACTTAGCAATGTGGCATAATATCACAGAATAAATGTGGTTGTCTTTAATTAAACAGGAGTCATTTCAGTACCAACAGAAAGGGATCAAGTTATCAAGTGCCTGCAACCACTGCACAAAGAGGGAAATGTTATTAGGTACCACTTCTTTATCCTCAGTACTGCAGTCTCTGCTTCTTCCTCCTGTGCGAGTATAAAAGCCACAGCAGCTGCCTCCTCTCTGGGATCCTGCAGCCTAGCAATGCCCATTCCTGCTACTAGTTTCTTTTGGGAAGAAGCCAGATGACACCCAGACACTTGTGCTCTGAAGAGTCATCTGTAGGTCGGGTATGAAACCTCCTCAAAACCATTTGACATTCCTGAGATGCAAATCTTTTCTCCAGCCCGTGCATTACTTATTTTCTATATTTTCCACAAATTAAGTAGAGAATTGTGTTGTCTGGAAATGGCAGCAGTGAAGGCTTCTCAGGAGGTGAATTCAGATGACTGTTAATGCTCTAGTACTATCCTCACCTGGGAGCTTTTGGCCAAGTGCTTTGATGAAATTAAAAGCCTCTTATCATCTTCAGATGTGTAATCGCACTTAGACAGGGCTCTGCCTTCTCATCCTGCGTTATGAATGTGGTTGCAGAGCTGTTGTCATCTGATAACCAGGCTGTTTCCGCTCCCCGGCTCAGTCCTGACAGAACTCGCCTAGTATATTTGGAAGGGCCAGTATTTGGGCCTCATCGCCAGTGCCTGAAGCTACAGATGGTGAGTGCTCTGAGAGAGGATTTTCTCCCACGCACAGGCAAGTGGAAAAAGCATCAATGCATCTGCCACCCACCTCCCTTTTGCCTGGGAGACACACAAGAAATCAGGTTGCACACCTCTTGTGTCCTTTCCTTTGACACTGGTCTGGGAATCTCTGTCCCTGGATGCTGTTCTCTGCCTTCCAATCCTTAATCTCCAGGGATCACTAGTATAGTATACTGGACTGGGACTCAGAAGATCAGGTTACACAGCCCTGCCCTACTTTGCAGGGTTGTTGTGAGGAACAAATGGAGAAGAGGATCGTACATGCCACCTTGGGTTCTTTGGGGGCAAGAGCAAAGTATAAATGAAATGAATAAACCTCCTTTCTGCTTGCCTTGAAAATGCAATGGGAAAGAGGAATTTCCTTTGTGTCCCTTCCTAAGGACTGTAAACTTAAAATGATCAAAAAGCCTACTGTTGCAAGAAAAGATGTTTGTGGCTTATAGCATGGCAGCAAATCAACCAGGAAAGGCAAGAAAGAAAGACGGTGAGTTTTCAGTTCAGTAGCGGAAAAAAGGAAACACCATCTTTCTGCCATCCAAAAGGCTTCAACCTGCTTCCCTTTGACAGCAGACAGCACAGCCATCAAAAAAGGCAGGAAATGAAACCCAGTGGAAAAAGCAGAAAACTTGTTAGTCATAAATGGGGAAGGTGAAGCCTGATCTTAAGATGTCACAATTCTGTCAACTAATGGGAGATGTGTTTTCAGTATCCACTGTTGTGAGGCAAACTTTAAAGAACTTGAAACAACAACAACTAATACATTACAGCAATTATTCTTGTTCCTCACTAGTGATTATGTAATTGAATACGATTATAAGACTAGTACTAAAATCATTATTATTATTACATTGCATGTATATCCTGCCTTTTTTTGTGAGCAACCCAAGGCACCTTACATAGCTCCATCTTATCCTCACAACAACCCTCTGAGGTAGGTTAGGCTGCGAGTGCGTAGCTGCCCCAAAGTCACCCAGTGAACTACATGGTCAAGTGGATCAGGATCTTCTGGTCCTCAGTCCAGCTGTCTAACCACCACACTGGCTCCAACACCTCACCGGCTTTCTGAGAACTCTGAGAATTAGGAAACATCTGTCCTTCTGTTCATCTGATCTTCTCTCCTGTCTAGCTGAACTGGCAAACAAAGCTTACATCTACTGTGGTGGACACAGTGAGAACTGCCACAGCTGGTAAGTCCCAATTTCAGAAAATGATTGCGCATCATTACAGTTGCTTTTTCTCATCACCCTGCCATCATATACGATATTGCCACCCCCCACACACACAATAAGCTTGGCGATGGAGAGCCCTGGCGTCAGACATATGTTCCCTCACACAACAATTCCCATGTGATAGCTTATTTTAAAGCCTCCTCCATTTCATGCAAAGCTCCTAACTTTGCCTGTGTTTTACTTGAGTTGAGCCAAATGTCTCCATGAGATCTGTCTTCTACTTTTAAGGTTTTTTTGGGATCTACCAGGGATCACTGCCCCTGCTTTGCTGGGCCAAGGACAGCAAAAGAGTCCTGATTAGCACTCCTCAGAGGAGTAGGAAGGTATGTTGGAGCCAGCAAGAAAGGCTTTGAGTGGGAAGAAAGGGGCAAACAAATGGCTGCGGATCTCTTCTCGCCTTTCATCATCCCTGAAGGTTTGCAGTACCCGGCAGAAAAGCCGGAGCCAAGCAAGGTCTCCTAATATATGAGATGAGATTGCAGCACGATTGGCCTTAGAGTGAATGTATGCCTATGTGTATCCCACCAAGAAGGTCTGAGCAGCATGGGAGAGGCCTGCCAGCCCCGTGAACTAGGCTAGGAGGAAAAAGCTGCTCTGTGCGCTTGGTAGCTAAACAAGAATTTGAACCTGGGTTTCCCATGTCCTACTAAAACACTGTAGCCAATACATTACATGTGCTTCCAGAAATGTGAGAGCCAGACATTCCTTACAAGTGGGGAAGGCAAGCCATGTCTGCTGAACCTAAGATGAGGGTAGCTGTAAGCAGCCCTACACGGGGTCTCTTTGTTTGGAAATAAGCGTGGAAGAGATGGGAGACTCAAGCTTGCACTTCCTCCCCTGAAACGATGAAAAGAGGTGCAGGGGGAGAGTGGCCATGCCTGGTTGCTCACTGCCTTATGCCCAGGAAGAGTAGGGGGATGTGAGGAACCACTTTTCCTGCTATAAGGTTTTGATGGGTTTCTATGGATCAGCAGCCACTGTCCTATTTGCATTCTTTCTTTACTGTCTCTTGCAGGAGCTGCTGGTTGTGGATACCACACTGGGGTGTGTGAAGACAATTACAGCAGGTATAATCAAAGCTTAAGCTCAGAGGCTGCAGGTGCTGTTTAGTATTTGCTGAGATCTGTTCCAAACACCAGGCACAAAAAGAAGAACTCCTGTAATCTAGTATGTCTGCCCATTTCTCTGCACTCTATTATCTTCAGAGAAGACTTTTAGTATACAATTGTTCTGCCTCATGTATGGCATGTTTTGATGCATCCAGATAAATTTGCCTTTGACATGTAATCCTCCTGTACTTTTTCTGTTACTTATTCCATTATTTTTCCACAAACAATCCAAGAAGGAGGCACAGGCGGAATAGCTGCACACCACAGTCCTTTTGATTGGAAGTATCCATTTTGAAGCATGCCTGGAAAATGCTGCAGGGGCGGTGGCCACAGGCTGGCTCCCCTACTTCCTGCAGTCTTGCTGCATTCGCAACAAAACCAGTCAGCAGAGAAGGCTAATCAGCCTCCTAATAGTCCTCGAAGCCAGATCTAATTCTGTTGCCTGATGAAGGGCTCCTCTTCTGAGGACAGCAAAGCTGCTGAAAGTTGAGTGTTAGATTGTAACTACAACTGCTGCAATATATACCTGCTGCTTCAGAACCCGCTGGGCCTGGCTTGGGATCAGGAAGCCTGTGAGTGGCTTATTTACTGCCCTTTTTGCTCCTGAAGTGCAGCAGTCAGCTTTTCAACCCAGTACGTTTGCAGTCATAGCTTATAAACCATGTCTGATGTGCAGTCAAGATGATTTCCCATGAAATGACCCCAGCTGTTATGCTTTTCTGTAATTCATTCCCTAATACGAGCCAAGAATGGGAGGATGCAGTTGAGGTGCACCAAGGAAGAGAACTGTGGAACCGCTTGCTTGCTTGCTTGCTTGCTTGCTTGCTTGCTTGCTTGCTTGCT